CTCATATATCTAATAAACATCTCCATATTTTTGTGACCTTGACACATCTGAAATACTATACGGTAATGGTCAAATGCGTAGAAACGGAGTAAATGGAAGCCGCAGTCATAAACATATTATAGCTTGACTTTTCCTTGTCAGTAGATTCTTCCTCCGTTATCTGTTTTAGAGAGTTCAAAGCCCTATGTATGATTAGGCTATTATACAGATGCACAAGTTATGTAGGGAATAAATATGAAACTAAAAAACAACAAACAACATTTAGACAGCTTTTGGATTCCATTTTATAGGATGAGTAGCTAATATTGAAAAAGTGAAAATTATTTTCTAAAGTGAACAATTCTTTTGAAAAAATTACATTTAAAATTGATCTTATAAATTCTGGGGACACATTATCTAATGTTTAACTGCACAAATTAGCAGTGATGTAAAAACACCGTCTGTGAAAAAAGGACTCCGTGTGTAGCCTTGAACTAGTAGCATCGTCATCGCCCAAACGCCATCAGAACATAGTCTTCTTAAACCAGCACTGGGACATCTACCAAAACAATTCACTGTTGTCCAGTCGTTTTTCCTGTCCTGTTTCAAGTACATTTTGGGGGAATTTCTTGATGTTATAGCTTAATGTTTAGATAGTCATTGAGGTCAGGATTTCCACTACAGCAGGCATGTTTGGCCCTGGAATGCCAGAATTATTGTTAAAGGGGTCCTATTATGCGTTTTCACTTTTTCAACTTTAGTTCGCAGACGAACTTAGCGTGGTTACAATCATCCGGGTTTAAATCGCACTCAAATTTATTTTGACGCAATATTTACACTGAAGCTCGCAGCAGGCTATGGTAAGGGGCGTGACATTTCCCGACCAGGTGCCAAGTGCTGCCAATCACAACACACACTGGCCCAGCTAACCAATCACAGCACATTTCGTATTTCAGAAGGCGGGTCTTCATTTGATACAGGAACTATTCGAGCCGTTCATGCCAGACTGAGGAGAGAGGTGTTGTAATAATGTAAAATATGTGAAAAATAATGTGTTTTTCGAACAACCGAGAGCCCGTTCTAGTACACCCCCAAAACCAAATCAAGACTTTGTAAAAGAGCATAATAGAACCCCTTTAAGTGCCTGAAAGCTAATCATATGATACAAACATGACTTTGCCGCATGGGAAAAAATATTTGCAAGTTGGAGCTGGAGGCCCCTTGAACCAGTTCTGCTAATTTCCGTGTTTGTCTTGGGAATCACACATGCACGATGCTTCAGATCAAAGGAGCACAAACATTTTAGTAGCTTCACAGTGGCAGCCGAGCTAATGAAATCATTGTAAAAAATGTAGTCGTAAAGTCAGAATGAGTATACGAGTAGGGACATTTTAAAGAAGTCTCTAATGCTCACACAGGCTGCATTTGATCAAAAGTACAGTAAAAACATTAATATTGTGAAATATTATTGCAATTTAAAATAACCATTTTCTATTTTGATGTAGCCTATTTTAACATTTAATTTATTCCTGTGATGACTGCTGAATTTTCAGTATCGTTACTCCACTCTTTAGTGTAACATGATCCTTCAGATATGCTGATTTGATGCTCAAGAAACATTTATTATTGTTATCAGTGCTGAACCCATGATACATTTCTGCAGGATTCTTTGAAGAACAGAAATGTCAAAAGAACAGGAATTATTTGAAATAGAAATCTTTTGTAACATTATAAATGGCTTTACTGTCACTTTTCAACTGAATGCATTCATGCTCAATAAAAGTAGCCTAAATCTCTTTAAATCTCTGTAAAAATGACTTTCAGGCAGAACTTTTGTGGTGCATAATAAATACCTACTAAAGGGAAACAACAAGCATGTATACAAATAAAAAAAGTCTACTGTTTGTGTGGAGGGTAGGTGAGGTGAACGCTCTTTTCACCTGAAAAAACAACAACAACAAAAACCTGCAGCCCAATCGGAAACCGGCTCTGTCACTCTGCCACCACTCACCACTCATCTACCGGGAAGTTTCCCAACTTATCAAAACAAAGAAACAGAAATTCTACAGAAGTTCTACGAGTTTTTGAACAAAACAAGTCATTTGTACTTCGGTGTATAAGTGGGATTCTCAGATGTTTTGTGTTGCCAGTTAGGCTCCAAATGCTAAACAAAAAATGTCAAAGCAAGAAAAATGAGCGGAAAACAACTCGGCTTCAGAAGCAATATCCTGTATCAGCAATTAAACCCTGAAATAGAAAGTAGGAGTACCCAAGTTGTGTTTTCACGCTTGTTTGAGAGTTTAATGTGTCCTTTACGCTTCACATCCTGAATATTTACCTTAGTTTGTTTATAGCAACAGCATTGCCTTTCTTAACCAAGTTGAGAGCGTTATTCTCTGTTTTGCCTGTTTACATTAAATATAAAGAAATTAAAATAACTGAATATATAACTAAATAATTCATTAAAAACAAAACATGTATCCCTCAAAAATGTATTTGGCTGCTATGTAATGTAGTCAGGTGGATTCAGTCATATGAATTGAAATGTTTGACTTACGCAAAAATAGTTAACACTACATAACACACTTCAGTTGCCTGACAAAACGTTTTTACAGAAGTCACATTGGAACAAACTCAAAATGAGCAGGTCTGACGGCAAGTGTTTGATAACCGAACAAACATATTTTATAAGCAAACTCCCGCAGTATACGCTGGTCAAAATCTCTTGCCCTGATTGCTGATTATGACATCCCGTCAAAGGGGGTGGGAGGTTAACAATAAGGTCTCTGTGTTCTCAGGGTCCCAGTGTCCTAGTTAGAGTGTGTCATACAGAATACAAGTCATACTGAATAAAGAAGACCACCAAACACGGTCTAGAACATTTTCAGCACAGTGGGCCAAAGCAAAAACCCCAAAAATGTTGTCTGATCTCTGGGTGAATGTCTCAAAATCTACCATGAACACGTTTTAATTTCAAAATCAAAAGTAAATAAATAAAAAATTACCTTTTGTTTTGCATATAGAAAAAGAGGCGTTTTTATGGACCATTAAGATTTTCATGGCCAACACACACATTTCTTACACAATTCTCAACATAGGTTTTGTTTTCTTCATGCAAAATATTATCATTTCTTTCTTGCGATTAATCTCAGGATGAAATGTGACCTGGACATGTTTTTGTGTCATAGGTGTTCAGGGTGAACTGATAAGCTCATTTGCCACACCTTAAATTATCACCAGACCTTGTTATGAGTAACAGATGGCCTTTGAGCAAGTCAGGCTATTTAGTTAGCATGTGCAAACATCAACTTAGACCTCGATCAGTCGCATATACAGTACACATAAAATGTATTCTCCCTTTTGACCGCCTTTGGTTTTAGCACATACTATTGTGTTACAACACAAAATCATGTATTTGACTAAGAACCGTTCACATTTTTGAACACAAAGCACTTTATAATGTCAAAGAATAAAATACAGATATTACGAAATCAATTACAGTTAAACACGAGTGCATAACTGAACACATAATGCGCCTTTTGTTGTCTGATTCACCAAAACATCCATGGGCAAATCCAGCTATAGTGTAAGAAATAGTTTTCCTGAATAACGACAGATAAACGATTGATAGATATAGATAGATAGACAGAGAGACAGATATACAGAACAGAACTCCTTCAGGGTTTCCGTAGGCCTCTCAACTGTTTCCATTATGGATCTTCTTCCTGTCTGGCTGGCTACTTATTTTTGGAGTTCAGCCAGTTTTGGGTAGAGTTACAGTGTTGTTTTTTTCATATTTTCTCATTCTGTGAATGTTGGTCTTCGCGCCGCTCCAAAGCATACCCTGTTGAAAAAAACAGCATATGCTGGTTAGGTATGTTTTGACGCTGGGATGCTGGTTTAAGCTGGTCCTTTGCTGGTTTATGCTGGTCCTTTGCTGGTTTAAACTGGTCCTTTTGCTGGTTTATGCTGGTCATGTGCTGGCAAAGGACCAGCATAAACCAGCATAAACCAGCAAAGGACCAGTTTAAACCAGCAATGGACCAGCATAAACCAGCAAAGTTGTGTCAAAGCAAAAAGATTATGTAATTAAGAGGTGTTCATTGTGTTTATAGGCACAGAAGATGGAGCTTGCAGTATATGCAAGATATTAGCTACTTCATACAAAATTAGGAGAAATATCAGTTACTGATACAATATTAATGTGATAAAAGTGCATTTCTAAGTTAGCAGCCAAAAGAAACATAACCCATAAATTCAATCAGGGAAGGAATAGCTGAAATTATACCTGTTTAAAAATATGTATATATCGCTAGACACCGAAACATTGACTATAAACATGCAGGTTCCCAGTCGTTTGGTTTATGTTTAGTATTGACTAACACTAACAGCACCACCTTGTGTTCAAACAGAAACCCTGCACAATAAATACAAACACACTCCCTTCTATTTCTCCCTTTCCAGTAAGCAACCACCATTTTAGCAATGCTTTAACAACCACCCTCAACAGCCATGCATTGGGACTTTAACATTTTGGGCTTAACATTTTGATGTGAGTGAGACTCTAACCTTGTGTGACCTTCTTAGATAAGAAGGATGAGTGTCTAGTATATCTATCTATGTAATCAATGTGCAGGGTTCTGCATTGTGTATATAGTGTGCCATATACTGTGACCATATTTGGAACTATGATGGGCTAAAATTGTACTAATTTCTCTTAAGACTTTTTTTTTTTTGTTAACTTTGAGACTTGATTACTTAAAGTGACTTTCTTACTTTTTACTTTCTTAGAGAGTACACTTAAAATATCTTTTAGCCATTTTGAATGGAATCAATCAATCAATAAAGCAGAAGAACCTGTATTTAAAACAAGTGAATTTAGGACATTTTGTGAATGGATGAGAAATTTTTGCCAGGATCAAACTGTATGTTACCAGTTAGTAGTTTTCATTTATCCTTTAATTTTTAATGAGTAACAGTCAAAACAAATGTTTTATTGACAGCTTTGTTTTAATGTTAAAAACAATAAAATAGCTCATTTATAATGATAAATTTAGAACAAGATTTTAATTTAGATTAGCATTACTCTATGCAGAAATGCCTTACAGTAACACACTATTAACTGATGAATTAATTCTTGCATTCAGTGGTTAATGAGATCTACACTCCTTATCCAAGGTTGTGTAGCTCCACCTTCAGTTTAGTTTTCTCTAATTTAAGTTTTTGTGTTTATAATTTTATCATTTCCAATGTCAACACTTCATACTGTTTATCCAGTAAGCTTCATAGTAATGTTGGTTAGAGGGTCTTTCCGTGTCTCAGTCTCTGAAGTACTTGCCACAGATGTCATCTGTATGCTGCCCTTCATTCATCTTCAAAAAAACAAAAAACAAAAAACCATTAGGGAGTTGCAGAAACACATTGTTTGTTGGAAAAATTTCTCTCCCAGAATGCTGTTGCTACTACATGTTAGTTAACTAACTTGGTGAATTAAGACTTGGGGTTGTAAGATTGTAATGATGAGCTTTACCTTCACTTTGTGCCGTTTGGTTCTGGCTTGTGATTGCCGCTGCTTCACCTTGAGTGACTGATGATATCAAGAGAGAGGAGAATGTTACCTGGCAACTTTCTCTGCCAAAGCCTTGTGTTTTTTCATTATTTGCATTGTAATTACTAATTATTAAAAAATAAGTAAATTACAAAATGTATTAATTAAAATAGATTTGGCAGCACTGCATTGAACCTCAAATATACAAATGTTTTCAGCAAAAACTATCGGCCATGTTGTTTAAAGTTCTTCATTGTCTTTTCCCACAAAGCAATGCAATTTGATCTATCTATAGTTAATCTATCTGTCTGTGTCTGTCTGTCTATCTATCTATCTATCTATCTATCTATCTATCTGTCTGTCTAATGATCTACATATTTATATACACACACTACATTAGTGAGTGATAAAATTGTCAAGAAAAAGTGGCATTTGTGAGATATAAAAGTCCAAATATATAAAACCATACAGAGTTCATATAGACTCTTTTTTTTGAAGTGCATCATCAAATGTATAATTTTTTTTCTGAGATCCTTTTATAATATCAGTTTAAAAAAAGATGCATAAATAAATAAATACATTTTAATGGATATTTTTGTTATATTGTCTTAGTGCAGTGTAAACAGTGTATTATTTGAAATTTTAGTTAGTTAAAATATTTATATTGTCACTTGAGAAGCATCACTCTTGCTCTCAAATCTCATTCCATCATTTTCCTCGGTGCCGTCACTAGAGTCATCCTTCACACATCCGGTGAAGGTGATTTACATTAGGTAAAGAAATGTCACTCACCACAGCCTTCCTCATCCGCACCATTCAGACAGTCATTTTCACCATCACACCTCCATATCATAGGCACACATGTTTTGCGTTTGTCTCCACAGCTGAACTCTTTGGATCTGCAGATCTTGTCTGAAATTAAGACGAAAACAAACTGAGTATCTATCTATCTATCTATCTATCTATCTATCTATCTATCTATCTATCTATCTGTGTAAGTAGCAAGGGTTAAAGGTGTTTTATGTGGTGTGCACCTAAAGGGACAAATACACACAAAAATATGTCAAAATGTCTGTCTTGGTGAGTTTTCACTAAACACAGTCAGTTATTTCTGAAGTGAACATGAATGGTTTGAAAAGTATTAGAATGCTAGTCAATATATTAGATCTGTGCATTCCATGACAGCATCCTACTGTAGCTACGAACCTGCTGCAGTCTGTCATTAATGTTAATCAAAGAACAAAAGAAACGGAGAGAATTATTCACTGCTCTTTACGGAGGATTGTTCATAACTTTGTTATGAATCAATTTATATTTAATTTATATGGTGACGTCAGTGATTTATCTTTACATTTGATTACTTTAATCAATTTCTGTGTAGGCTATTATAGACTAAATTGTTTATTTTATTTGTATATTTTTTCTATTGTATATGCCTTATTGTTTGTAATTTTCTTTCTTTTTTGTATTACTGGCTGTTTCAGCTCACTGCTGTTTGTTGACAGTGAAACTGCTCAGAAAGAATAGGTTTTGGGTTGCGGAGCATTTGGGGATTTTTATGAACTCTCAGACAGGTGCCCCCTGACAAAGTTTTGCTTAGGGCCCCCAGAAGTCTAGGATCGGCACTGCTCCTTAAAACTGCAGTGCACCAAAGACAAAAATGCTGTTTGAAACAGAAAAGATGAGATTTCAAGAAATAAGAAATGTCACTCACCACAGCCTTCCTCATCTGCACCATTCAGACAGTCACTATCACCATCGCATTTCCATGCCATAGGCACACACTTTGTGTCACCACAGCTGAACTGATTGGGTCTGCAGGTTTTGACAGCTGATCAAACAAAAACAAAACAAAACTTCGGATATCATGTCTCGAAAAAGTCCATTTAAAGAGCGGCTCCCTGTATCTGTTCTGCTAAAATGGCCGAGCAACTAAACAGCCGTTTTCATAAAATCATTTACACTGGGTCCGTCCACCTTTGTATAATTTATATTATAAATAAAGAAAAGGAAGAATGATAATTCGGCACCTAAACATCAGTCAATCAATCAGAAAAAAAACAGGCATTTCTATTGACACAATTATTTTTAATTCTTTGATTTGATCTCAATTGTCACATAATCTATCACATCTGTCTAATCTGACAAAAACTTTTCTACCTACGTAAGCCTAAGCATAGGTAGGCTATCTCGCCGTTTTTTTCTTAGAATTGTGAGTTTATATCGCACAGAAAAGGTCACAATTGCATAAAATTGTGAGTAAAAAAGATTTTTGAGATAAAAAGTCAATTCTTTTTATTTTTTCGGTTCAGTGCCATCCACACATGCAAATCAATAGCCAGAATGTCCTCCAGACCAGATATATTTACAAAAGATAACTGATGATCATTCAAATCTGTTGTTTACTCACATGTTTGAACAGGACAGGATAAAGTAACTGCCAGTAAGAGCATAAATGAGATCTCCATATCTGTTAAAACAGGTGGACTTCTACTCATCTGACACTGCTGGTAAATATGTAGGCTATCAATTTGTCTGGTCTATGGCTCCACCCACCCACCTAAAAAAATCCACATGCATTCTGCAATATTTGGCAACATGAGAGAGGAGAGGATAACAACACTAATTATAATGTGCTTATCTGATAAATATAAACCAAAGCCAGTGCAAATGAGATTAACTTTGCCAACTTCATATTCATATAGGCCTAGGATGAAACCCTAATCCAGAGGTTGGTAACTTTTGGCTCGCTATAGTCAGCCACACCTGGCTCTTTGACAGAAATCATGTGGATCGCAGGTCTCTCTCACTCTTTACCAAGAAACAGCAAATTACAACCTCTTTGCTGTACAGTTAATGAAATGTTTAGAATAATAATATATTAAACCGGACAAAGTGCGCCTTCAGTGCTGTTGTGTGTCACTCACTACAGCAGCAACGTAGCTTGTTTTTGTAATGACGAAAAGAAAGATTTTTAGAACAACAGCTAAAATGTACAACTATATAAGAATCAGGGCTGTCAGTTTAACGCTTAACTTCATTAATTAGTTATGAAAAAATAAGATTAAAATATTTTTTTTTGCAGTTAACGCACTGGCCCCGCCCCCAGACCTGTACATCGAGACTGCTGACAAATCAGTCATTCTTGAGAAGTGGGACAAAACGGTGCAAAATTGAAAAAATAAAACCTTGTACTCAGACAAATGAAACTACATTTATGTATCTTATATGTACTAAGCTACTGAGCTATGCTTTGATACAACCTCCCAACCTTTCTCTTTTTTAACAAAATGTGCTTTTTTTTTTACCTTGGACTGTGTAATATAATTTCAGCTTTATCTTTAACAGCATTCAAGATGTTTTTAACATTTCAAAACACATTCTCATGTTAGTAAGTGTTGCTTTTGATAAAACAAGCTATTTTTCATCATTAAATTTTTCATCATTTTTATCCATTTTATTGCATATGAATGATTGAACCCTTCTCTGTGGACACACTGTTTTAGATGTAGTGAGAGGACATTAAGAAACACAGATTTGGTATAATAATGAGAAAATTAAATTGAAGGTGGTAATTGTGTTAAATACATTCTATTATTAATCCCTCGTGACATTTAAAATTGAAAATATTTTTATTTTTAAACCTAATAGCAGTTACCCTTGCTGGACCTGTTTTGTCCCATGTCTCAAGAATGACTGAAATATGATGCAAATAACAATTCCATAAATGCAGTTATACCATAAAATTCAAGATATAGGTTCAAAAAAATGCCTCTGTATATCACACGATATCACACTAGAGCAATTTCACAGGAGCGCTGATTTTGTCCCGATCTATCACAAGTTTAAATGTGATTTTATACAATAGCTATAACAGAGATTGACCAATCAGAACTCGGCACTGTAACAAGCCGCGCACAAGCTGAAGCAAGTTTCCGTTATTTTTCACGCAAAATGGTTCAAGACCAACTTAGACAAAAGAAGGTATGCTTTTTCCTTGATTAGAATTTAAAAACATTCCCCTGACATAATGTCATTGTGCTGTATGTGTGTGAGGGACTGAGAGACGATATACAGGAGAGCTGACATTATCGAGTATGTCGCCAACTTTGCAAAAAAACTAACAAAAACACGTCTTGAGAGTCCAAAAGCATTTACTGCGCGATGAAGCTCATTAGAATGCCCTTATAATTCAAGCAATGAAAGAAAAATACCCATGTAAGTTTTTATGTTTTTATAATCATTGCACAAACAATGCATTTTCTGAATATCAGCACATGTGCGCGAGCATAAATATGCTAATAATTTTATACAACAGTGTAGAGCAAAGTTTCATTCCTTGAATGAATCTGTTTTTAAACGAATCATGTGAGCCAGTGATTCAACGGTCCATTCACTTGTTTCGTTTCTAATTGAATCTGCCGTTTTGAACGAATCATTTGATTTGAATGATTCAATAAGTCATTTATTAAAACAGGCACTTGCTGCCACCTACTGGTGGTTTTATTGTCATCTCTATTTATCCATGACAACCAGCCAAGGTGCCAGCACAAAAATACATGCAGCAAAATATTGTTTAATTAGTAGTACTGACCAAAATTCCTCCATTTCAGGCCCCAGAAGGAGCTTATAAATAAATAATGAAATAAATAAATAAAAAAGCTTATAAATAATAGTTTAATAAGGCTCATTTTTAATTAAATAAAATCCTTTTTAGACCAATTTTGTAATCGTTGTGTAAAATTAGCTACCCCCTGTAATTCTTTTTACAATTCGACCACTGTATCTATGAGCAGAACTGTTGCGCCTCCGAGCAACACCGCGGTATTTAGTTTCTGAATGAATCCGCGTTTTTAAAGAATTGTGTGAACCAATGATTCAAAGGCTCATTCATAAAGAGAGCCGTTTGTTTCATTCCTGAATGAATCAGTCGTTTGAAGAATCAATGACTCATAAAGACATTTACCGCCACCTGCTGGCAGATTTAGTTTGTTATTTAGACTAGAGTATCATTTCATTAAAAAAAAAAAATATATAATAATAATAATTAAAAAAATAATAATAATAAAAACATTAAAGGGATAGTTTACCCCAAAAATGAAAATTCTGTCATTGTTTACTCAGCCTCATGTCGTTTCAAGCCATTCTTTTGTGGAACATGAAAGAAGGTATTTTGAAGACTGTTGGTACAAAGCTGTTTTGGTTACCAATGACTTTCATTGTATGAACAAAAAATAGAGGTTACTGATATGTTTATGAAATCATCTTCTTTTATGTTCCATGGTTTATGTTAGGCCGTTGCAGCCTAAATGTTCGTGTAGCCTAATAAATTTTATGTTGAATCAAATCAAATATTTCTTTCTAAAGCTACGATTTGTAATGTCTACGTGATACTTTGTCATTTAACACAAAAATAGCTTTAAATAATCTTTTGTGGGTATTTTCACAGTCGAATTTATTTTGCAATTAATTCGATTAATTAATCGAAACATCATGTAATTAATTAGATTAAAATTTTTAATTGACTGACAGCCCTAATAAGAATGTATCCTTTTATTGAAACTGGTGCTCTGCCGTGCCAAGAGCCATTTCAAAACATTTCACTGCCTACTTTTGCTGCACAGACCTTTTATGTCCTATAGGATGTGTCCTATTTTGTGCATTGACTTATTCACTCACACAAACATAAAAAAATTTTTTAATTTTTTTTTTATTGTGGCTATTTTGGAAAAACCCATTAATCCAAAAAGGGCTCTTTGGCCAAAAAAAAAAAAATCTATATTTTGTGACCTTAATATAACTGGCATGTTATACTCATATTTTAAAAGAAAACACGAGTAGCAAACGGAAGCTACAGTCATAAACAGCAGATTCTTTTTCAGTTATTTCTGTTAGAGAGAGTTTAGGTATTTATGCTTAGCACAATGCAGAATACATGTATGTGGATAATATTAAAAATATGAAATATTTATATGTAATAAAGGACAATATTAAATATATTTTGTTGTGAACTGAGGTCAACATTTCCACTAAGTTAGGTAATATTACAGTCTATTAGGCTCTACACAAAAAAAATAAAAAGGGTGGGGAAAAAAAATGAAAAAGAAAAGCCACTTCCAAATCAGATAAAATAAACTTGTTAGGAATTCCTAGACTTGCAAAGTTAGGAAATTTTAGGATATTTGCGAACTTTTGTTGGCTCATTGAACCAACAATTCAGTGTTTGCTTTTCTGGATGCACTTCAATCCTTTGCGAGTAAGTGGACAACAAACAGAGCAATTCCTCACTTTGACATTCATCCAAAATAAAAATAAAAAAAGCTGTTGTAGTCAAAGTCTGAGACCACACTGAAAATCTGGAATTCACATCTACACCCATGTCAGATGTGTTACAACAATGCTTAACATGTAGTACAGTCATAACACAACATGAATCACACAGACGAATAAATTGTGGAAAGGCTTAAAGAAATAGTTTACCCAAAAATATAATTTTGCTTAAGATTTATTCACCCTCAGACCATCCAAGAATTATTATTTTTTTGTATCTATTACAGCAAAAAGCTGCATGTTTGGTAGGAAACATATCCATGAAGACGTTAAACCATTGCTTCTGGACAAAAATATCAGTCCATAATCCACAATATTGCTTTCTTCAGGGAAAAGGTCATCTTGTTTGAATGAGGAGAGCAATGTGCAATGGATCAGGCACTGTTTACAAGTGAAAAAGAGTCAAAAACAGCTCTAAACAAATATGTTGGTGGATTTTGATGTGATAGGACAACATGGGATGGACCTTTTCACTGGAGGAAGCTTTGTTATAGTTTATGGACTGGTATTTTAGCCAGAAGTGATGATTTAAAATGAAAACACGCAGCATTTCACGTTATAAGATTGATGGACTGGAGTCATGTGAATTACTGTTATGTTTTAAACAGCTGTTTGGACTCTCATTCTGAGGATCCATTGATGAGCAAGTGATGTAATGCTAGAATTTCTCCAAATCTGTTCTAATGAAGAAACAAACTCCTCTACATCTTGGGTGGAGTCAATTTTTTAAAAAATTTCATTTTTGAGTTAACTATTCCTTTCAAATCCAAAAGACATACATAGCATTAAAGGGTTAGTTCACACAAAAATGAAAATTAGCCCATAAATTACTCACCCTCAAGTCATCCTAGGTGTATATGTCTTTCTTCTTTCAGACGAATCCAGTCGGAGTTATATTAAAAATTGTCTTTGATCTTTCAAGCTGTTTCATGGTACTCAGCGGGTGATGCATGCATCAGTCCAAAAGAACTTAATTAAAATGCGCCCATCCATAAAAAAAAGTGTCTCACACGGCTCCGGGGGGGTGAA